CCCCCCCTCTGCCAGCTTCCATCTGAAATGGCGAGCATATAGAGTTCCTAATTGTTCGCGTGTGTGTGTGTGTGTAGGTGTATGGAAGTCAATAAAAGTGACCTTTGATTTTATGTCGGCATTTTTATGACGTCAAATCCGTTGGAGTGTAATTCTGATTGTAATTGTAATTGTAATGAAGTGTAATGAAATAATGCAGTTAACTCTTGAAAATACTTCATTTCGCTACTAATTGAATTGCCATCGGCCCTTGAATATGCTGATGAGTCGTATGATTTGCCACATTCTAAGAGATTAAATTTTTTTCTCCTTAAATCTGCTCTTTTTTGTAGCAGAACTTAAGCGAGCTCGCATGGGCTCTTCACTGTTGCCAAGCACCGGAAATTGCTGATAAATTAAGTTGGCGGCTTTGGCTGGCAGCGGAACAACTGGATTCGGGTGTCCTTATTTATGTTGTGTTAATAATAGCAACGTCCTGGCACAGCCTGCGGCGTTCTGTCATTAATCTTAATTCGGTGCAAATATTCAATCAAGCGATGCGCCTTTGCTTGCGCTGCCTTTGCCTGCCTTGCTGTAATTAAAGAGACATTAAGCGCCTCGTAAAAATTAAATTGTCAGCTGCGGTTAGATGCACGCGGGGCAGGGGAGGGCTTGCCACTGGCCTGGCCTGCCTACTGACTAGCGCCTCTCAATAGCGCCAATTAGCTACACTTGAGCCCAGCCACGCGGCATTTTTATTGACCAAATATCGATTCAGTTCGGCTTAAATTCTGAAACGAAATCTAAACCGAATCTGTTAGTCGAGAAATTTCACTTTTAAAATGACTTTCGTTCTCTTAACATATTTATTGCAGCCGAACCGCTGCTTGCCATTGGCCGATTTCTTAGACCAGTTTTTATTTTCAAACAAATCAAATCAATGAATGAGAGTTGTGTTTGTATACAAAGCATTCATTAACATTTATACTTTAAAAATATATACATTCACCCATAAATTTGTATGCTTTCTGATTATTCAAATTCTATGGTTTTTTTTATTATTATCAGTATTTTTTGTAAACAAAATTCTTTATTAATGTTTATTTAAGCAAATGATTCTAGTCGAATAAAGTAATACACTATAATTAGTAAAAAGGCAGAGCTCTGTGTAATATATATTAAATACATTTTTTATTAAGAAAAAATATATATTTTTTATTATTTGTGTAGTATATTATATGTTAAATAGAAATAAATGAGACGGGCAATATAAGTTACTAGAATTCTATTTGAAAATAAAATAAAAGATTAAGAAAGCAAACAATAAATATTAAGGATATCTAGAAAAAATTATTTTAAAAAATTATTTATATTAAAAATATAATATATGTAAAAAATATTAATTAAAAAAAAAAATAAATAAAATAATAATAATTAAATAAAAAAATAATAATAATAAAAATAATTTAATTATGTATTAAAAATTTACAAAATAAAAATGAAACATATAAAGTATTTAAAATATATATAAAAATTGTATAATATAAATTGTAATATATAAAGCTTAAAAATTACATATTTTTTATTTCAAGTGTATAAATATATTTAATAACATATATATGTATTGTGACATATATATAAGATAATCATTTGATTTTTGTAAATATTATTTTTATTTTTTTTACATATTTCAAACTTTGCAAAAAAAAAAAAAATCATTACAAAATATTTCCTCTTCATAGTTTATCTAGTCGAAATATTCGATTTTATGTTATTTGCAGAGATGTGTTTATTGTATTTTGTTTTGAGTTTTATAGATATTGACGCTTCATGGATTTTGTGCATGGTTCGTTTACATACGAATATTTACTAGCTGGTCAGCCAACTGCCGATGCGTAACAGACATATATGTATGTATATATATGTATATGTATATGTATGTGCGTGTGTGTGTACGGGCCACAGAGCACAGGATGAAGCTGCCATCCGTCTGATGTCCGTTGTCTGTCGACTATCGCCTGTTGTTGTTGTTGTTGTGTGCATAAAATGGCATAAAACTGATTCTCATGCTGTTGTTGTTGTTGTTGTTGGCAGTAAAATTTCTTTGGTAAAGAAGTGCAATAAAAAGACTTTAATGATGCGACTGTCTGTAATTAAATGTCATAGTCACATGCCCACGCTCTCACACACGGCGTATACGCAATGTGAGTGAACTCTAAGCCTCTGGCGCAATGAATTGGCCCTCAAATGCATGTTTATCATTTTAATTGAATGCCCAGGCTCGCATTTTCTCATCACAAATCCTTGCCCTCTAAATTGTGTCGATTGTATTTATTTTTTAAGTTTTTCTCTTGGTTGTCTGTGTGCCCGGAATATGACATTTGATTTATTGCTGCTTGTTTTTCGCTTAGCAAACAAGATCATAAATAAACATGAGACTAGAACACAAAAAATAAAAAATAAAACAGTTGGCCAACCGAATGGCGATAGCATAGTTCTGTATTGCATTCAAGGGAATTCCATTCCATTTAAAGTCAAATGCAAATTTGCATGCACCAAATTTGCATCATTGAACACAACTTTCGACTGTTTGCGCACATTGCGTATGCTTAATTTTTGCCTTGTAACCTAGTAATCGCAGCTAGAGCAGCGCATTGGGTGGTTTAGTTCCTTGAAATTAGACCTGATTAGCAAAATTTTTGTTTCCAAATTTATTATAAATATTTAGTGAACTTTGAATTAATTTTTAAATATTTCAAATTAATATTTGGGTAAACTTTAATTCTCTTCTCGCTTCTCACGTACAGCTCATGCCTTGGCATCTGCTTTCGCCTAATCTTTAGTTAATGCCAAAGTATATCTACGACACTGTAGCTTGCTTATTCCAAACGGTTGACTTGCGGCCTTGACGACAATGGCTTAGAGTCGATTTTTCGACAACCGGAGCGTAAGCAATTTCCATTAACGCTTTTTC